TGTCACTTTAACCACTTCCGGGCTGCAGTATGTCTATAGACGGCGGCCTGCAGAAGTGGGTAAAACAGCAGGCGATTGCTGTGTAACTTACAATCGATCTGGTGTCTGAAGACCTGCCGGATCGTTTGTACCGTGTGGTACCCCCGCAGCGGCCACTGGGTCGGTGGGTCTCCCTGCAACGATCAGAGAGAGATTCAGCTGCTACCAGCCGCTGATCTCTCCTCCGATCACTGGACGTGGAAGTGCTGTGTATTACATCACTTCCTGTGTCACTGTACACAGTCTCCGGCTTTCAGAGCCAGGACAAGAAGCTGGGAAAGCAGATCTCGGCTTCCTCAGCTTGTTTGGGGGCTCCAGGTGACATTAGGGGTCTAAAAGACCCCTGATGGCCTCCATAAAGAGGACCTGTCACACCCTATCTGCTATTACACAGGGTGCTTGTTAGTCCCCTATGTAATACCAATAGGGTTAGTGTACAAAAAAAAGTGTTTACAAATAAAAGTAACATAAAGAAAAATGTAAAAATGGGAAAAAAATGTTTAAGTCCCCCGCCCCCCAGATACACACGCGTCGGAGCGCCTACGTGCAAAAAAACGACAATTGTGCTGCACATGTTACATATCGCCTCGAGCTTCGCAGTGAGCAATAATGCCATTTTTCTGCCGATACAGCAACGCATCCCTGCTTTCTTTCCTCACACAGTCTCTCATAGAACTATCCTGCTCGAGGACCTCTGTGGTTTTTCCTGAGATTAGTGGGTCTTTTGCTGGACATAGACTCTCCAGTCTTTTGGGACTGAGTTTCAGGTTACAACCTTACAAAATTCCTTCCTAAAATGTTTGATCATACATTCCAAGGGGGTCGGGACTGACTGGTTACCACCCAGATTTTTGCTCTAGAGACACCATGACAGACACAGAAGGTAGGGTGAGGATTAGGAGTCTGGTAAGGGGTCCAAGACTCTCGACACAGAAAGGTTATAAGACAGCACTTCCCCCTATCGGTGACTCAGGCGCGGTCGCCCGGCTGAGAATTGCACCTACACAGGTCTACTCTCGCTTAGTTGCTGGGCAACGTCTCATTCAACCACAAACACACCGACTCTACCACCCGAAATTACCGACTACCTGAGGAATACCGCGGGATGATCCAATCATCCAATCGGGGTTTCCTCGGGAGATGATCTGGCTCCCCTTCCCTTGAATACCGTCGAGAGGTCCTGACTGGCTAACGCATACACATGCGTCACAATACACATTTCCTTTACACATATGTTTTCTTTACATTTATGCTTCAATTATACAGCTCTAAGCCAATCGGCAAGCAGCATTTGCAATTTTACTATATATGGATTGCATCCCTTATCTGTATGGCTCATCTGAACACAAACTACCGTTTTATGCATTGTTATTTTTGGGAAGGGAGAGATGTTGAAATACAGAGGACATAAACAACGAGCCATATTGTCAAGCGTAGCCATTTTGTCTGCTGCCACAATACAAGTGTATAATGATGCTATGTACATGGTGGCAAGCATCCATCCGGATTCAAAGGTCCCAAAGTCGTGTAGTTTTTTCAGGAAATCATCCGTAACTTTAATATATGCTGGAAGTTCCCTCACAAGTGGTTAGGGGAAATGGTCAATGTATTTTGTCATATATAAGTGCATCTTGCCATACTTATTCATAGGGATGCACTGATACTTTTCAGATACCAGTGCTGATACTTGACATTTTTATGAGAACTACCAGGGTTGCAGAGGTTGCAGCTGGGACCTGGCTCTGGCGCTCCACCACTGTCCTGAAATAATTAGTCAATATTGTTTTAGGAAAACTGTAATAAACAAAAGTGTATCAGTATTTGTACTTGTAAGTACTTGGGCAAGTATCAGTACTTGTACTTGCAAAAATGGTATCGGTGCATCCCTTTTATTTATAGTTATAAAAAGCAAAATCATACATTAAAACAGAGATGTCCAAATCCCAGGAGCTCCGTGTGCTCCTTACAAATGACAGCTGCCTCCTAACTTTTTTTTTTTTTCCTCTAGTGTAGTCTTAAGGTGCCCATACACCTGCCGATTATCGGAGGATAATCGCGGGTGATCCCGCGAACGTACGAGATTTTAATTATCTTACAACCATCGCACAACGAAAGTCGTGCGATGGTTGTAAGGTGTATGGGCACCTTTAGAGCACGAAAAGTATCTGTATTTGTACCGAGTACGGTACTTGGTATCTGTGCATCCCTACTTATTCATCATGTTTGTTCGCTCGAACATAGGTTTCAATTGATGGAATAAAGCGGCTCTTGGTTTTTTTTATCCATTTAATTGATTAATCGAAAAAATAATCGACCAACTAATCAATTATGAAAATAATCATTAGTTGCAGCCCCAATCTAACTGATTTTCCGCAGTATGCTCTTGCTCTATGTATTATTTTAATACATACACGACACTAAAGTTCTTTCACATGTATTATTTTGTCTATATTCATGTTGTATGGTGACAGGCACATGGAATAGAAGACGTAGGAGCAAGACCTCTAACTGCTGTGGGTCAACTTTTGCTGATCAGACCCCCATAGGAAATCTTCCATCTGCGAATTTGTATATTTGTGGCTTAAAGTGTATTTCTACTTTTGCAGCCAAGTTATATTACCTATTTTATATTTGTTACATGTTCCCATTCACATAGCATAAGCTTAAGAAAAAATTATTAAAAGCTTCTTGCGGTTAAAATTGTGTTTACTAGGGTTAGGCACTGTGTGTCCTAACAAAGGGTTACAACCCTGGCTTGTACATTGTATGTTAATGAGCGAAACAGTGATAAACTTTCAGTCCTAAGCCTTTCTATATGGACATAGCACTGTGAAGGTGCCCAGAAAAAACTGGATTCAGCCATATTGCCTGCTGCAACAGTATGAGGGGTTTTCCAAAATTTGACTACAAAATTGGAATTACACTTTTAGTATGATTTATATTTATTAAGTACTGTTGATTAATTTGAATTATATTTATATAGACACTCCGCACTGTATTGTTTACTCATAGTAAAAAAGAGAAAACCAAGGTTTGTCTTTCTAGTAACTCTATTTCAAGTAGTGATCCAGGACAACAGGCTTCCCTCCCTGAGGTATGTTTTATATTTTCCTTTTAGATTACGTTCTTTAGTGTTCTTTATTAACTGAGGATGACAACCTAAGGACTTCATTTCAACCTTTTGACCTTTTGATGTGTTTCCTTTTCTGGTGGAAAAAGTGTCTTAACGTATCCTTTCCTTGAGGCCTTCTGTAAATAATAATTTTTTTCACGGTTTACAACAGTTCTGTTATGTTGATTTTGAGTTATCTTCAGTATCTCTACAGTTTGCACACTGAGTTTTCTTCTGCTTACAGGTAGGGGTTTCAGTTGAAAGAGTTCATGTACTTTTTGGCACTAGTCAAAAGTTATGACATTCAGGCAACCAGAGGTATTCCTACATCACTCGCCACCTGAAGCCGAGGGGGGGGGATTCTGGCAGTGCATGTTACCGGGGGTAGGGAGGGTGTACCGTACCTCTGTCTGGCATCCCACCCAGCTTACTGATGTCACTAGTTGCCAGGAGCTGGGCGGGACCCCAGCCAGAGCATTCTGCTTTGCTCCTGGCATCCCCCCCCCCATGTGACCCAATAAGATGCTGCCTGAGGCAACCGTTCAGGCTGCCTCATTAGTATTTATTTTTCTGTCCATCCATTCCTGAGATCTGCACAGCCCTTTCACACAGAAAAGGCAAGTGGTTGACACCACTTTCTCTTAGTCAAAAAAGGATTAGAATATGTCCTCTCTACACAGTCAAATTCTGGTACTAGTTACTTTTAAACCTAACTGCATTTATGTTTATATTTTATATCTGACTGGAGTTCTGCTTTAACAATAGCATAAATGGTTCCTTAGAAACCACTAACAAATTGCAGATAAAGACTTTTATGTATGGCAATGCTAAAAGAAGTTCACTTTTTTTTTTTTTGCAAGCGCAAGTATTTATTTATATGAGAGGCAGTAAAATATTCACCCCTAATTTACCATCCATTAACACAAAACTTGAGTTGTTTTGAGGCTGCTATATGCCTGGAACTAAAAATAAAATAAAAATAAGGGCACATTTATAAACCGTTTAGAGACAGTTGTCCTGCAAAACTCCATAAACTTTTTGTGCAAATGGAGGCAAAAATTTACATTTATTTATTTCAGGTATTTATATAGCGCTGACAATTTTACGCAGCATTTTACATAGTTTCACATTCACATCAGTCCCTACCCTCAATCTTAGTATATTTCCTTTCCAGGTTAAATGTTATGTTAGAAGAATTCTGCATTATTGCTAATAAATTGAACTGAGTAGTATAGAAAGGAAGTATTTCCTTCTTATGCTCCTCACTTCCATCAAGTGGCCATAGTGCAGTATTTTTTTAGTATTCCAAAATGCTGTTCATTTTACCTTCATTTGCACAGAACGAACATTCACTGAGTTTTGCAGGACCAATGGCTTTGCAAATTGGTTTTTTTTAACGGGGAGATGGTTTATTTTTCCCAATTTCTGTGCCTTTTGGGAAGATCCCCTTTTCACTACTTGTTGCATCTCTAGAGTAGGAAGTCTGAAGAAGCATCTTTTCACAAGAGGAGGAGTCTGTTTTGAGGCAGTTGTCACCAGAACAGTTTCCTTCTTTTAAAGATTTACTTTCATCTCCAGGTTAAGTGGCAACTGTAACATTTAGGATTTTTTACCCCTGTGACATTGGCCACCAGGACAAACTGGGAGGCTGAATCTACCCGGTGGGTAGACAGTTTTTGCTATGATGAAAATAAAAATGCATTTGTTTATTGTACTGTATGTGTGAAGGTGGACTTGTAGGTGCTTGTTGGTTATGAGCTAAATTTGGTAGTTTCTGTACTAAAGTGAAATCCTTTTGGGCTAGCTATGTTTTTTTTGCTTAATTTTTATGCAATTTGTTCATTTTCAGACATGCTTGTGTGCCAGTGGACTTTGAAGTGGTGAATGTGAATTCTACTGCCTCAGATGAAGAGGACATCCAGAATGCTATTACTGCTATTCGAAGAAACAGAGTGGCACTGAAGGGTACGACCACCTCTCACTTTTTCGTATATAACTAGGGATGTACCAATACCAGTATCGGTGCTGATACTGGGTATTTTCACAAGTACTCGTGAAAATGCCTTGATGCTAAGCGACAATACCGGCCCTTTAAATTTTAAAATCAATTTGAAGCGCTTGCTTTGTGGGGACCATCACGGTGGCTGTTTACAGCGCTGGCCACGCTTCTCCTCCTTTCCACTGCCCGCACCTATCCTCACTAGCGAGATGCTGCACGCAGCCCTGATGAGCAACACAGAGTATCTAGCTTTATATTATTCTGCATTGCTGTGCAATATTTTACTGGGATTTGTAGTCCTCTGTAGCTGATGGTATTCTGCATTGTTGTGTAATGTATTGCTGCGATTTGTAGTCCCTCTACAGCCTGGAGTCAGTGGCAGAACTACTGGGGTGCAGCGTTTACATCTGGGACTGGGCCCTGGCACTTCACCACTGTCTTAATATCATTTAGGCTGTATTGTTTTTTTTTTTTAACTGTCACATGACACAAAAACAAAAAGGATTGGTAATTTGCATCTGTGAGTAGTTGAGGAAAAGTATTGGTACTCGTATTCATGGGGAAAAACATGGTATCGGTGCATCCCTACTTAAAACGTTGTGAAGTGCTGAAAATTAAGCGTTTGTTTTGTTTTCTGCCATCAGGTAATATTGAGACAAACCATAACATGCCTCCATCCCACCGCTCCCGAAATAACTTACTTCGGTGAGTTGTTTTCTATTGTGAACAGTTATGTATGATTTGCCTGTGTCTATAAAACATTGTTTAGTGAACTATGAGATCAGGAAAATTACTGATGTTTAAAGTTTATCTAAAGCCAAAGCTTTCTTTTCATTTTGTCTAGAGTAGGGGAGGGTTAGAACATCTGTCAGTGCCTTTTCTTTGTTGTCCATTACAGGGTTTCTAATGCAGTCAGTTTATACTGACACCCACAGAAGGTTGGGATACTGGGAAACAGAAAAGGATGTATGATAGCCCCTGTATAACTTCCTCTCTACCCAGCATGTGTACTGGTGTCCTAGCAGGTTGGATACATTTTCTTCAGCTCCGCTAAATTGTTAAGTCTTACTACTTTTTTGCTAGACTTTTTTGACTTTCTGGTTTTCTTTTTTCATTTTGTGACTTCAATCCAAGTATCCTACACTACTTCTTGAACTGGTCTCTGCATAGCAGCTGTTCAAATCAGCGATTCCTCAGGAGTAGATTTGAAGGCCGTACCCAGACCCCGCTGGATATGCCATGTATGGATAACCTAGATTGTGATCTTCGGGCACTGGGATCAGCATTGTCACAGTTTTCAAAACTGTGGCATAGCCCCTGCTGAAGACTCAATAAATAAGGCAGGATGAGCTGAAGCATCAGTAGCTACCTCACTGTTTGCACTTTTGGGAACCTTTTCAAACTTCCCACCACCACCGGTTTTACCGCTATAAGTGTTAAGGCTTGGGGGATTGAGCACTGACGCCATCTGCTCAGTGTGCTGCTGTGCGAGAGTGCTCACCAAAAACCATCCCACTGCTGCTCCTGCTACTGAAGCACCATGTGGATCTCAGGGACTCGTTCCACTGGCCGTTTACAGTCACTTAGTCACCTCCAGCTGCCTAAAACCTTCATCAGTGCCAGCTGCCCCCAGGTCTGTGAGTAAGGCCCTAGTTGTTCACTGCTACTCAGTGCAACTTTTCAAAGACGCACAGAGAACAGTCCAGCTGCCACAGGTAACCTCAACCCATTCTCCCCTAGTGTTTCTGGGGGACCAACATCTGTAATCTATAACCTGAGACCCCTATCTTCGTAGGGTCCTCATTGTCAGAGTCTCCTGCAGCTCGGTTAGGCAGGGCCAAGGCCTCCTCCATTCTACTCTGGACTTTGTCTGTTTGTGTCCAGTTAATGGAACATTCTACCTACAGAGGTGGTATGTGCTCCCCGTTGCGATCCCTGGCAGAGCCTGCCTCTGATCCTCCTAAACCGCAAAATCAAACTGAGCCTCAAAGCCTGGTTACTTTCTCTAATTCAAAGTCCCAACTGTCTTTCTCTGCCATCTGCAGATGACTCGCAAAGGGTTGTTTCAAACCTGATTGATCAGTGCATACTACCCTGCACTTGAAGGTTCGGACTGCTGTTTCAGGCTTAGGGTCTTTTAGAGATCCTACATCTGCAAATACGTCCGGTTTAAATCATCCCTTTATAAAGACTGGAAACATCCTGAAGGTTCCTGGGCCCTTCCTAAAAGTGTTTTCCCTTAGTCGTCTTCCAGGGCAACATACGAGAGATGGCTCCTCCCCAAGCAGGAAATGCGTCACACCCATTAATTTAAAATAACCGACTTCCACTTCCCTCCTCAGTTTTAGTGTTTCCTCTGTCCGGAGGAGACTTGTCACAGAGCGCTTGGGGGGAAGGAGTCCTTATCTCTCTGGTATGCTGTGGGAGGGCACCCTCCCCCTCCCCCACAGCTACCTTCTTTTGACCTCCAGCAGTTTCCTAGGGCTCTGCGGGAGTTATGCTGGCTCCCTCTTCCTCCCTCTTTCTCCTTCAGTACTCGGGAAGGGTCGGCACCGGCAGTGATGCTGCCCCATTGACTGTGACCTGATCCGTGCATCGGCATGTTGGAGAGGCCCTGTGCGGTGTCCGAGGCCCCGAGATGAGTGCTGCATTGTGACCGGATGACCGCACGCATCACTTCCGGCACGGGCAGTGTCCCTTCCGGGCACCGGAGGCTTCCCTGCGTTCTTCCAGTTTTTTCCTTCCAGTAGTGTCTTCGATGACGCCGGCAGCATGGGGCACATGAAACATGGATCCTACTCCACAGGCTCAGCCCTCTTCAGAATTGGGATCTTCTGGCACCAACTCTGCATAGGTAAGGTGGATTTTCTTGTTTTACCACCTGTGTCTCCAACCTTTTCATTACTCCTGCAGCCTTTTGGTGTTGGGCTTATGGAGTTTTGGTGGCACTGGTTCTGGGTGGTTTCTTTTCCTTTTTAGTTTATCAGTTAACTCCTTGGTTTGCTGCTCTTCTTGCAGGCTAAGCGCGTGGCTACTCAAAAGGAAAGGTGCCGTTTGTGGCTCCAAGATCTCTGCTTCATCAGCTTATTTGGTGACATTAGGTGTCTTAGAGACCCCTAATGTCTCCATAAAGAGGACCTGTCAGTGTGCCTTTGCTATTATATAGGGGGATTGTTATCCCCCTATGTGATGGCAATAACATTAAGAGTAAAAAAATAAAGTAAAAAAAATAAGTTGCATATAAAAAAGTAAAAAAAAACCCAAAAAAGTCCCCCACGTTTACGCACATATAAACGTAAATATGCGTCGGATGCGCCAGCATGCGAAAACGACAATTGCGCTACATATGTGCAATAATTTTAGAGCCATCAATCACTGATAACACTAAACTACTAAACTAATGAGCTATAAAAGCTTTTAAAGCGTCACCTATGGCCAATTTTGGGTATTGTAATTTTTTGAGATTTCGCAGGCGCGCACAATTTTAACGCTTGACATGTTTGGTTTCTTTTTACCCGACGTGACCCCGTCTTTTATATTTTACCCAAAAATTGGGTAATAATGTTTTATAACTTAATATAGGGAGAACAGTTTTTTCTTTACATTTTCGGTAATTTTTCCTTACTATAGTAAAAAAAAAAAACCCACAGTGTTGATTAAATACCACCAAAGGAAAGCTCCCCCAAAAATGGTATAAAATTCATTTCAGTACAGCGTTGCATGACAGAATAAATGTCAAAGTACCGCAGCGCTGAATACTGAAAAATGGCCTGGGCAGGAAGGGGGTTTAACAGCCCGGACTTCAAGTGGTTAAAGAAGTATCAGCCTCCGCATGTGGCAACTTGTTATCCACTGTCAAGGAGGAGTTAGCTTCTACCTTCCAGTCTTTTAGATCTATGTTGGAAAGCATGAAGGCCCCAGTCAGAGCCGGTCTGTGCCAAAGCCTTCTTCTTTCTCTCAGCCACAGTTAGTTAGGTATGCACAGATACCGTTTTTTCGGGATCGAGTACCAATATTTTTCGGTACTCGCCGATACTGAGTATGGATACCAGAAGGCCCATTAAGGAAACCGGGCGGCGTGTATGGTAATAACTCGCCGCCTGGCTTCCTGATTGGCTAGCTTCCCATACATTCAGGAAGCAGAGCGTCGATACATTACACGTTGCCCGGTTTCCTGATTATCCGGGAAGCCGGCTCAATGCTACCTCGTTACCAGGTGACGAGAAAGCATGGAGATGGCTTTCTGGCCAATCAGGAAGCTGGGGGGCGAGTCTTTACCTGTCCCCCTCCTTCCTGATTGGCCAGGAAGCCAGCTCCATGCTCCCTGGTGACGAGGCAGCATGGAGCCGGCTTCCTGGCCAATTAGGAAGGCGGGCAGCATGTAATTGCCGCCTGGCTTCCTGGTACCTAAAGTTTCAATATTGGGATAGGCATTAGGAGCATTTGGGCGAGTAAGAGTACTCACCCAAATACTCGATATTGGAAGCAATACCAGTATCGATGCATCCCCAGTTAGAGTATTCATCTCAGAGGGGGAAGATCCTAGTGAGAAAGATCCTTCTCTAATTAATTCTTCAGTAGAAGAAGATAGTTACAAGATTGAAACTGCTAGTTCTTCCAGGTACAAGTTGACTCCTCTCTAGTAACCTTAGGAGATATCCTTTTGATGAAGACCCTGCAATGGTTTGGAACAAACTTCCAAAACTTGATATCCCCCTATCTAAGTTCTCCAAAAGAGCAGACCTGGCTTTTGAAGACACGGAGAACCTTTGTGATCCCATGGAAAAAAAATTAAGGCTTTACTGAAAAGAGCCTGGGGACTCAACCTTAGCTAATCTTAAGCTGGCTCTGGCTACTATGTGTGTCCCCAGAAACCTGGAATTATTCACTTACAGCAGAGGACGCCGTGGGCTCGCAGGGACAAGGTGAGTGTCACTTTTCTCTGCAACCCCGAGTCTGGCTCGGGGTTACCGCTCCTAGCATTGAAAATTCACCCAGAGCCAGACTTGGGATTACCGCCAGGGAGGTTAAGGCTCATTTACTTGCAGGCACTCCCAGCAAACAACTTTTGTATCTGTTTCCAATGCTTTTTAAGGCAGTTTGGTGTATTGCGGACGCCTCGGCTGAATCTGTAAGCATGTCGGCCAGATCCTCTGCTCTGTTTAATTCCTCCCACAGAGCCCTATGGTTAAAGGCTTGGGAAGGAGATACCACTTCAGAACTTTGTCTCTGTAATCTCCTTTTTTGGCCCAGAGCTCAAAGCTGTGCTAGAGCATATGGCAGTTAGAAATAAATCTTTTCCAGAAAAGAAGAAAAAGCCTTCTTGTAAAAAAACAATTAGTGAGCCCCGGAACAAGAACCAGGGTAACCAGGATGACAAGGCAGTTCAACTCCATCCTGAGTCTCCTGGAACCAGACTAGAATTCGACAGAAATCATCCTTAGAATTTTTTTGTAACCGATCTTCCAAAGGATCAAGTAAAGTCACATTCGCTTTGTCTTTTGTTAGAAGATCTGGTGGATTAGAGGGTCATTATGCAAGTGCCAGAGGCGGAGCAGGATCGGGGCTTCTATTCTCAAGTATTCATAGTTCAGAAGCCCTTGGGCATGTTCTCAACCTCAGAATGTGGTGATTAAAGTACAAAAAATTCAGGATCGACTTTTTTCGGTAATGACACTTGAGTCCCAACTCATTTCTAGCGACTCTGGATTTGAGTGATTCCTATTTACACATATCCATTCACCTGGATCATCAGCAGTTCTTACGGTTAGCAGTGAAAACAAACTCTGGGATAGTTCATTTCCAATTCAAAGCTCTTCTCTTCGGGCTCTTCTCAGCTCCCCGGATCTTTTCAAGGGTTCTAGGAGAAGCCCCTCTGAGAATACAAGGGATAAATATTCTTCCTTACCTGGACTATATCCTGTTTCTGGCTCCAACTGCAGGTCAGCTGGAAAGGGATCTGGCCTTTGAACAGAAATGGTTGCAGGACCTGGGTTGGATCGTAAATGTTCAAAAGTCCAACCTAGTACCCTCTCAGGTGGTGACCTTTTTAGGTTATGTCCTTTTTCTACCAATAGAGACAATACAGATGGTTTATCTGGCAGTAAGTAGTCTTCAGGGGAATCTCCCAGTGTCACTGAGGTTTGTGATGTCATTTCTAGGTCTCATGACTTTGTGTTTACCGGCAGTGAGATGGGCTTGTTTTTCATCAAAGGGCTCTGCAGCAGTTTTAGGGGGTGGACCACTCCTTAGAGAGTCTAGATTTTGGAAGTTCTTCTTTTCCTTCCTCCCCGAAAAGGAGCCTTTGATTGTGGAAGAATCTCTCTCACCTATCAGGGGGTCTCCCTTGGGTAAATCAGCCATCCAAGAAACTCACACCAGCTCCTGGGGGTGGGGAGCCCATTTAGAGGACTTAGTGATTCAGGGTCAGTGGTCCCAGGTAGAGGCGAATTGGAGGGAGCTCAGGTCTCATTACCTATTAGTGTTTTCAGACAATGCTACTTGAATCAGGAAATTTTCTCCACTCTTGTGGAGAAGTGGGAAGTTCCAGATATAGACCTGTTTTCTCGGAATCCAAGGGATTCATGCCCTTTCCAATCCTTGGAACTTTCTCCTCTGTTACACCTTCTCTCTGATTCACTTGATTCCCAGAGTCTTGCAAAAGTTTCTGCGGGAGGAAGCAGATCTCATCTTGATAGCTTCTTTTTGGCCCAAACGGACATGGTTTCCACTGCTTCTGTCTCTGGTCACTCAGCCACTATGGACTCTCCTGCCCAGGTTGGCCCTCCTGTCCCAGGGCCCAGTGTTTCACCCAAAGGCCCACATGTTCAATTTGACTGACTTCTATCTGAGGAAAGGATTCTAAAAGATAAAGATCTCTCAGACAAAGTGATAAGTACACTTCTCGTAAGTCGGTAACAAGGAAAATATGCAGGAAAGTTTGGAAGAACTTCAGACATTCCAGATGTTCTGGATTTTTTGCACGAGGGTGCGGACAAAAGGTTGGCTATTAGCACCTTGAAAGTACAAATTTCCGCTCTCACTGTTTATTTGCAGATGCCGGTAGCAGAGGATCAACTTATCTCTTGATTTTTTTTAGAGCTCTCAAGAGAATTAGACCTGTGACCCTGAAAACATTTTCACAGTGGGACCTTTGCTTAGTTCTGCAGGGTTTGATAGGTCCCTTCCTTTGAACCTATGGCGGAAACTTCCCTAAAATATCTTACGCTAAAAAACAGTGTTCCTTGTAGCTATAGCCTCGGCTCGCAGGGTTAGTGAATTTCAGGCTTTGTCTGTCAGACAACCCTTCTTATACATTTTTGAGGATATAATTATTAGTACGGATCCAGCTTTTTTACCTAAAATCTCCAATTTTCGCAGATCCCAGGAGATTGTACTGCCCACTTTTTGTAGCACTATCCCATCTGTGTCTATGATCTTGCTGTTGGCACTGCTTTTCCACAAAACTAAAGCAAGCTGGGATGAACTGGAGTAGGTAGGTGTGTGATGTGTGTGTTTCATTACATGTGGGGGGTTTTTTTTAACCACTTCCAGCGGGTTCACGTAACTGTACGTCATCCGCTGCTGCAGCCGTGTTCTTGTTACCGTTTTAAACAGCCGGTGATTGCTGTTTAAATACAAACAATCCAGTGTCTGTACGGGCATCGGATCGCTTGTACGGTGCAGCGCCGTGTCTCCCTCTGCGGCCGCCGTCGGCTTCCCGGGCTCATCTGTCCCTCGTGTGAGCCCAGGACTGGCGTGGAAGGTCTCCCCTGACAGATCAGAGGAGAGATCTGTGGCTTCATCGCGAGCGTCAGAGTGAGAGCAATACTTTTAGGCCCATCAATCACTGTTAGCGTCACCTATGGGAAATTTTGGTTATTGTAGATTTTTTGCGGTTTCACGGACGCACACCAATTTTAAGGCTTGACATGTTTGGTATCTATTTACCCGGCGTGACCCCGTCTTTTATATTTTACCGTAAAATTTGCCATTATATTCTGTTTCTGTGCACTAAATTTCATTTTAGTGTATTTTATCCTAAAAATTGTGGTTTGATAAACATTTGCGCAAATACCCTGCGACATAAAAAATTGGAACTAGCATATTTTTATTCTACAGGGCCTGTGCTTTCAGAAGGGCCTCTGCTTTCAGAAAATATAAATATACGCACATTGTTTGGGGGTTTGAAGCTGTTTTCTAGCCAAAAATTCAGATTTTATCATGTGTGCACATGTAAGAAATTGCTCCAGACAGCAAGTGGTTAATGAGCGTGTGATTTGTGTGTTATGCGTGTGTTTTATTGCGTGTGTTATGTGCGTGTTTTAATGCGTGTGTTTTAATGAGTGTATAAATGTTTGAATATGTGTGTTTCCCTATTCTGCCTAAGGCAGTGATGCTGAACATTTTTAAAACCCTATCACCCAAACTGCAACGCAATACTAAAGTTATTTTCAGTGCTGGCACTTTGAGATAAATAAATTGATTTTGCGTCGCAGTTTGGGCACTCGGGTTCAAAAACATTCGCCATCACTATCCTAGTCTGACGGCGGCGCAGGCAAGAGCCCAGAGGTAGCGGGGGAGGGGCCTTAGATACAGGGAGGGCGGACCTACCGCCCCTGTGGCTGCATGAAGGCTCGAGGCTGGGGGGACCCACTGAGATCCAGTATCGGGCCCCTCACTGGAAGACTGGTGCCTGCATCTGCCCCTGGTGAGAACTCTTTGGTTTTTAAAGTTTATTGGCACTGGTAAGAAAATGTATCATGTATAGTGGCAGATTGGGTTCATGTTATTATCTGATTGGTTGTTTGGGCTACTGTTTACTTTTCTAATATTTTTTTTAGATTTTACAACCTGTTTAATTTTATGTTGTGTTATGTTTTATGCATATCTGCTGTATATTAGTCAGATTATATTGTTTGGTGTGGTTTGTAATAGACATGTGCCTGACAAACAAATTTGGTTCAGATGAAACAAATGAAAATGAAAAACATTTTTTATTTGTTTCGTCAAAGAAAACAAATTTTAATGCTGTTTCGGATTCGGAGGCAACGAACCTCCGAATCCGAAACCGCACAAAGAAATTGCAGATCGAGCGGCGGCCGTATAAGCCGCCAGCGTGTTCTGCGCATGCGTGTCATTTTGGAGTATATCTTGGTATATACCAAGATGGGGGAACCTGAACATGTGGACGCTGCCATCTTGGTGTATACCAAGGTATACTCCAAAATGGCGCTGCGCATGCACAGAACACGCTGGCGTCCGATATGGCCACTGCACGTTTATGCAGGTGGCGATGGGGCTTGTATATGGGTGGAGCACAAGGGGCCCCATGATCTTGTATTGCCCGGGGGCCCCATGTGTTGTCAGTCCGCCCCTGCTCAAGACTCCCCACCTTAAGCACTACCTTTTCCCATACTTGACACCTAAATTTTACTTTTTGGGGGCTTTTACAAGCAAGATTTTATGAAATGTTGTACAAGCATAGCAAAGTTCAGACACAATTGTTTAGTATGATATTTTTACACAGTTGTAGGTAAATACAATGTCTCATGTATAAGGGCAAATAGTAGGGGCTAGTGGGGAGGGTGATGGTCTTCACAGCCTCTGGACTGGGTTGTTGTGCTGAAGGTCTCTGTCTCAATAAGTACAGGAGTGTATAAGTACGACAATACATTTGTTAACGTATAGCAGTCGCCACAACTTTACTAAAACAGACACAGTGTTTTTGTAGATAGACTTTTTCCTTCATTTGAAAAGCATCTCAAGCACAGCAAGGCATATTGCCATTAACTTGTTAGTGGTATAGTCTAGAAAAGTTCAGGGGGCTGCGTTTGACCTGGTTTGAGTTGAGTTTCTTTGGATGTAGCAGATTCAATTGAGATGCATTTGCATTTCAGGCAAAGCAGGTTAAACTTAGCTTTTTGCTGCATTTTGCACTGAAATGCATATATTTAAGCAGTGGTGTGTTTTAATGCAAAAGGCAGACATTTTGTTAACCAAATTATTTTATATAATTATTCTATATATTTTATATATTATACACTTTTTTATGATTGCGTGACATGGAGGTGATATTATTCTGATCCTTACCGTTATCGTATTTCCTGAAGGGCATTTAGCGCTGTACACTTTGTTGCATCATTATTCTGGGGGCTTTTAGCCTGAGTTCAGCAGCTTTTTCTTTTCCTTCGGTTTTAGAAAAATTATGCAATTTTAGCTCCGGGGTCATATTAATTTTAATTTTAATCCAGTTCTTAAATTTTTTACACATCTTTTATACTTTTACTATTTCCATTAGCGCAAGTTAGTTTGGTTTACTAAAAGGCAGCAAGCTTATTCTGGCTTTTAATTCAAATATTGATTTCCCATGAAAAAGTAGCCCTGTCATGCCTCCCCTTTCGTTCTGTGGGTTCAGCTGCATCCAGAGTGCACTGTAAGAATAAAGGTACATTTATGCAACGCTGTCCCTGCCTTTGTTTCGGATGTGAAGTCATCTGACATGTTTGATTTAAAGACCTTACCTTGTAATGGTTTAGCTGTTTAGATTTTAAAAGCTTTTCCATGCTAAATAATTGTGTAACTTACTTTTCTGTCTGCAGTACCAGCTTAGACCTGTACGCCAATGTTATCCACTGTCAGAGCCTCCCAGGGGTCCAGACCCGACAAAAGGAGATTGACATCCTGATCGTGCGGGAGAATACTGAGGGAGAGTACAGCAGCCTGGAGCATGAGGTCAGATACCTACTGACATCTCTTGTAATGAGAATCTAATACTAAGCTAAAGAGTTTACCACTAACACTTTTTACCAGACACCTCAAGATGACTGCATGTACTGTTTTGTACAGTGAAGTTAGCTTTTACTTACAAAAGTCGTAATTCACATACTAAATGGGCCTAGATGGTCCCCAGGGTACTTTAATAGAAAAGAAAGTAATGTGCAGCATCCTGTGGCGCTTCAATTTCCACTCTGTCTATATCTAGAACTTGATTGGTTTATCTTTACACATGCTATGCTGCCCAAATAATGGCAGGTCTCTCATTGATGATAACAGGTGAAATTTCTGAACATTGTCGTTCTCTGAGCATTGCACTTTTACTTTTCTCTCTTGGCCATTGTTGAGGTTGAGGTTATACTGCTGTCTACAGGATTAGACATTGGCAAACTAAACTGTAGGCCAGCCTAATGTTTAAAGGTTTAAGTCCTACCATTTAGTGTCCTGGGAGGATTGATTTCCTTTTTTTTTTTTTTTTTTTTTTACAGCTCTGTGTGATTACCTCTTACATTTTCTGATTCAATCAAGTCTCTTCTCTGGACTGCTGGATGGTTTGCCCACACCAATTTGCAGGTATCCAGTGTGGTCATCCCCTGCCTTGTTTCTGGACTGTATTGCAGACCTTACTGGATTAGACATTGTGGAATGAGCTTCAAAGTAGCCTGTGGACATGGTAGTTTTGGTTAAAGCAGAGCTACAACTTCCTATCTCTTACAGCAAAGGAAGATGCCATCAGTAAAATCTATCCTAATACTCTAGTAGCTATAGAGGAGGGGTATCTATGCGACGACCTCACTGATTTCCTCTATGTGCATAATGTGATTGACATCCGTTACCCAATCTTTGAAGGCAATGAAGAAATCTTCCAGAGTCTGGGTATTAGTATCCAACCCGCAGAGATAAGAAATCTAATTTAAGTAGCCCATGTTTTACTGTTGACAGGGGACCCAGAAGGATTGATGGCATGGCTACTTCTGGAGTTTCAGGACACCCAGATCCTATAACTGCTTTGCAGATCTTAAATATGGCTTGCTAATATGGACAGACTAGCTGATAGTCCCACCAGCTGTGGAGAATGGTACTTAGCTCACTCCCACAATACCAGCACTTGTCAGAAGTTGAGTAATTTAATTTAGCCATAGCAGATGGACACCAGTTCCATCAGGTGAGGATTTTAGTTGCATTCCTGAGTCTGACTTTTTGCACTGAACTTTAAGTATAATTAAACCCTGCTAGCAAGCAGTAGATATTTGCAAAAAGTTTAAAAAAAAAAAAAAAGCTTTAAAAGTGGTTTAAACTTATCTGTGTCTTCCCCGCGCGCTCCCGTCCGAAAATCTGAAAAATCTTGGGCGGCCACAAAGGATCTTGGGGCGGGCGCATGTGCAGTTCAGATTTCCGGCCGGGAGACGAGGAAAGACAAAAGATAAGTCTATGGACGGTGTGCACCCGCATGCATAGACCGGGGGACAGGAAGTGCCAGCAAGGACAGAGGAGTCAACATTGGATCAGAGACCCGCAGCAGCGCTGGAGAGAAGTCTGAAAATGACTGGAAAGAAGATCGGATTAAGAGACATCATTTAAGGTAAGTGCTGACATTAACATTGGGGGGGGAGGGGGGGGGAAAAAGTATCCTTTAATGTCACTTTAAATGGTCCCCTTTGAAGTAGGGACATTCAGGGAATGCAATGTTGTATAGTCAAGAACCTATATTTCCTCAATGGGTGTGTGAAAGCTCTTGTGTGGGGGTCTAGAGTAGATAAGTGTAAGTAAAAATGTCTAAGCTGAAAATAATGCAGCCACCTACCAGGAAACCCAGGGTTCCCCTCTAAGTATGTCTTGTGCTCAGTTTCTTTGCTGGCAGCAAACCGTTCCCTTTACTATCCTGCATGGACTAACTCCCTAATTCTTGTTGTTGTGGGTGGTCATGAATAAATCTATCCTATATGACGAGTGGGAAAGCGAGTGTATGACACAAATCCACTAATTGGATCTTGTGCATGAGCTTCTTTCTTTGTTCAGAATTGGGAGCTGAGAGGAACTCAACAACATATCCATATCCATTCATTTCCCCCTCCTCTTTTAGATTGTAAGCCCTCAGGGGCAGGGCCCTCCTTACCATCTTGTCTTGAATTGTATTGTAACTGTAATGTCTTCCTTATATTGTATAGCGCTGCGCAAACTGTTGGCGCTATATAAATACTATGTAATAATAATAATAAGTTGTAGGCTGCCATTTCTGATTTCTCCTCTAGAGAGTGTTAGTAACCTGCTGTCAGTCTGATGTAGAGACCCTAATACCTTTTGCCACATACTCCCAACAATTATGCTGCTTAGGGACTCTAATATTTATCTGACTTCACTAGCTGTGGGCATGTTGGAGATCAAAAACTTTTTTGTAAGAAATTCAGCAGTCAGGTGGAGTATGTGTAGGTTGTACCTGTTAGTAACTAAGTATGCGCCCCTACTGTTGGAGGAATGTTATAATGTATTTGCATGCAAAAATTTAATAAACAGAATTTTTCAAAAAAAGAAATTCAGCAGCCAAAGCCTCTTTTTTCTTTCTGTGCAGGTTTCTTTTAACCACTTGAAGACCAGGTGTTTACACCCCCTTCCTGGCCAGGCCATTTTTCAGTATTCAGCGCTGCAGTACTTTGACTGACATTTATTCCGTCCTACAACGTTGTACTGAAATTAATTTTATACCATTTTTGGGGACAGATAGAGCTTTCTTTTGGTGGTATTTAATCACCACTGGCATTTTTTTAAAACTATATTAAGGAAAAATTACTGAAAATTTAGAAAAACAAAAAAAAACGTTTTACATTGTTGGGAAACAATTATTATTACCCAATTTTTTGGTAAAATATAAAAGACGGGGTCACGTCCGATAAATAGTCGCCAAACATGTCAAGCCTTCAAATTGCACACACCCGTGAAATCGCAAAAAAACTACCATACCCAAAATTGGCGACACTGTAAAAACTTTTACCGCTCATCAGCTTAGTGACATCAGTGATTAATGGCCCTACAATTATTGCTCTCACTGCGACGTTCACGGTGATATGTAACATGTGTGGCATAATGGACGCAGTCGTCCTTTTCGCACGTATGCGCACCTGACATGTTTGCATGGCATGTTTGCACGCGTGTATGTATGGGTGGAGACTTTAAAAAAAATTGTGGTGTTTTTTTTTTTTGTGTGACTTAAATTTTTTTTTTTTTTTTTTAACTTTCATTTTTTCCTATTTTTTTTCCCACTTAACGTTATTGTTATCACATAGGGGGCTAAGAAACCCTCTATGTGATATCAAAGAGATTTGACAGGTCCTCTTCATGGAGACTTCAGGGGTCTCAAAGACCCCTAGAGACCCCCAAAGAAGCTGATAAAGCAGAGATCTGCTTCATCAGCTTCTCTCCAGCTTCTGAAGCTGGAGAGTGACACAAGAATGTCGAAGTAATATACATCACTTCTGCATTCTGACAGCGGAGAGGGGATGGAGGGAGATCGTGTATCGATGTCCCTCTGATCCCTTATCACGGAGCCACCATGCTGGTCCCGGGCTCGCACTGGGCACAGCGGAGCTCGGGACCAGAGGTGGGGGGGGGGGCGCACAGCCCGGCACCTTATACAAGTGATCGCTTGGATGTAAACAGGCATCGCTGCCTATTTTTACATTTGGGCAGTTACCCGCTTGCGTGAGATGCGCACGAGTGGGCATGACCAACAGGCTGTCTTTAGACAGCTAAAGAAGAACTCCAGGCGTGTAAAAGATTAACCCTTGCAGTGGGGCTACCCCCACAATGGAAGGGTTAAGTGCTTGTTTTGGTCTGGGGTCTAAAATAAAGAAGATGCACTCACCTACACCTGACTCTAATCCTACAAAATCACTGAATTTGTGCAAGTGTAAAGGTGCCCATACACCTGCCGATTATCCTACAATATTCGCGGGAAATCCCACGATCGTACAATAATCGGCAGGTGTATGGAAGGCGTGCAACTGTTTCTTTTGTCTTACGAGCAGGCTCCAAAACCCGCATGAGAATCGTACGATTGTCGGCGGGTTTGTGACCTGCTCGTAAGACAAATGCCGCATGGGCCGGTGTGCGCAAGAGCACACTGCCCGTTCAGCATTGCAGTCATCGAGTCATCGATGATCGCAAGTACGATCTGCCTGTCCAAGATGGGCAGATCGTACGTTTTTTAAATTACCTTACAACCATCGCAAGACAAAAGTCTTGCGATGGTTGTAAGGTGTATGGCCAGCTTTAGAATTGATGCTGGTTTGAAGTCAAAGAGTAGTCGCACCAAATATTGATTTGATTTAGATTTTTCTTCTGTTCATTCACTTTGCATTTTGTAAATTGATAAAAATAAAAATATATTTTGGACAGCATTCTTACTTTAGAGCATTTTTTCACACCTGCATAAAACTTGTACAGTACTGTATACGGTATAATTTGTTTTTGTTTTGTTTTTTTTCCTTTTAGACACTGGTGGTCTCACTTAGGGAGCTATGAAGACTGAGTAGTCTGTAATTTGATAGAATTATTATGGAGTAGTAGTAAAATTCCAAGAATTTCCATATGGCACGTAGAGCACATGTCTGATATGACATAGAATGAGCAGAATAATGGAGTGCGTGTGTGTATACAGGGCCGGTGCTATGTTTCCTGCCTACTGAAACATTTATATCATTTTTTTTAGGTCCAAAACATTTGTAAATAGATTGCAATACATTTTTTTTTTTTTTTTTGTGTAGAGTGTATCTGGAGTAGTGGAAAGTCTGAAGATCATCACACGAACAAACTCCCTACGCATCGCAGAATATGCCTTTAAACTGGCCAGAGAAAAAGGAAGAAAGAAAATTACAGCTGTGCACAAGGCCAATATCATGTATGATTCAGATACAACAACGAAGGTGGTGTGGAGGTTTTTAGGATGTTCTCATCAGGGTATTCTTTCCACAGGAAGCTGGGGGATGGCCTCTTTCTTCAGTGCTGCAAGGAGGTGGCTTCTGGGTACCCTGACATCACTTTTGAGAGCATGATTGTGGACAATACCACAATGCAGGTATGTGGGCTATCTGTTCCTGCACTGGGTCTGGTTTATGGAAATTTGAAACAATTAAGTAAACCTTTCACCTGTAGCAACCAGTTTGGTTTTAATTTTTAGTTTTGCAGTGAATTCCTTGATAGAATTGTATTGGAACAGAAAAAAGACACTCATATTCTTTTCCTGTGACACTGGAAAATCAAAGCTGTAAGACAGCCCTATATAACAGGGGTGTGGAATTCCTATCGCCCGACGCCCGGGACAGGCAGTTTCGGGCGTCGGGCGAGTAGTTTTTTGCTATATGTATCCCTGCTGCGGGCAAGCAGCACAGCTAAATGTAGTGTGGGAGCCGTTTCGTACAATTTATTTTGAACGGCTGTACAGGGGCTGTACTCCCCTCACCTCGCTCCCCCTCCCCTCTCTCTATCTATCACCAGCGGCTGGCCAGGGGGCCAGCCATGTACCTCTCCTGGATGCCTCTTTCTGCACGCTGGCTTCTTTTCTGCCATGGTCTCCGGGGTCCCCCCCTCTTGTGGGGGACTCGGGACCAGGCAAATTAGATTAGGTTATAGCACGGAGCTCCGTGTGTGCAGTGATACAGGAATGCAGCCTTCCTGTCACAGGAGAACGAGCACAGTGCTGTGCTATAACGCACAAAATCGTGTGGATGGCCTAGCGGTCACAGAATCACACACCACCGCCGATCGCGCTGGTGGTGCCATTATTGTCTAAAGCCTGCACCAGCCCTAAAGGGTAAATTCACTTTCCCAATAATTTGGAAAAATTGAATTACCTGCTCAAATCTGGCCCCCTCCTGCTATACTTACCGTTCAGGGAACGGTCCTTCCCATCCACCAATATGGGTGTACTATCTGTAACTGTGCCATGTATTCTGAATTTTCCCTCGCAAATTCCAAGCACTCGTTGGTCAGCGTGGTCACCTGACGCCACTGACTAATGAGAAGCTCTTCTTGGCACTGCTAAATACGGTTTTGGGTAAAATTAATTTTTTGGGATCAGGACAAGTAGATTGTCATGAGGGACAAGTAGATCGGGCCCCCGCTTTAGTCCTTTGACAAGTAGTTTTTTTTTTAAATTTCCACACCCTTGTATAACCCTTCCCACTCCCAGCCCTCCTCAGTTTGTGTGCTAGAGTCCTTAGGTGATGGATACCTTCTCTCTGCTCTAAGATAATTTGTTGTCACATTTACCTGTGCATTAATTGGTGTAATTCTCTCCCTCTGTATGAGGTTCTCGGGTTCCAGCCAATAGCAGGGCACAGACCCTGCAAGCAATCTGTTTTCAATCTCTGTCTTAAAGGGCTAGTGGACCTGTTGCTCTGCGTTCGAGCAACGAGTCAGTACATTAGCCGCCATACTCCCTGTGTCTCCTGAAGCTTGCTACTTGCGTTCTGAGGATCCCTGTGACCCATTGTTTACCTTTATTGCTGTTCCTAGTGTCTCCTCTGGACTCTGCACTCCTAGCGTGTCCCTGTGTTTAAGAGGCTCCTCTCATGCCTGTACTCCTGTGCACTGCTTACTCTGAGAGACTCCATACATTCCTGCATTGATGTGCACATCATACTTCTAGAGAGCTGGTTGTCCAAGGCAGTAGGGTTATGTCCACCGAGAGGGTGAAGACTGGATGGGGCATGTCCCCTTTAAGTGACTGTGCTACCTGGGCAGCCATTGTTCTGTGGGTGTTAAGGCAGGGCAGGTACCCATTTCTTGTATTCCAGAATCCTGCTGCACTCCTTACCGGGTATCCCTATCAACGTGGGTGCTTGAAATGATCACGGATGGCGCTGCCAATACTGAAGCTTGTTAGATGTCATCAGCATACCATATTGAAGTGAAGAACACGTCTGTTTATTGATGCATCATGTTAAAACATATAACGTTTCGGGGCCACACAGGGTCCCCTTCATCAGGCTTGAAATGGCATTGTGGGGTTCTGATGTGTGTAAGGGGGTACTAGTTGCCCCCTTTAATTTCCCTTATAGGTCCATGTGTGAGCTGATCCAGCTGCTGCGGTGACTCTGCATGGTGCTGAAGAAGTCCAGATCTCTGTTGCCCCCTGCTCTGGGTTACTGAGCTGCCTACGGTGCTAGCACACTAGACATCCTCCACAGTATTAAGAACTGGGATCAAATCCCCAAGGCAATGGCCGATCATTCCCAGCTGGCCCAAGAGGCAGTGTTACAAGGGTGTACAAAGTTGGCACACTCTCCATGGGCACACCTGGAATGTCCAGATTTTCTGTCCAATCGACTGGTATTCCACCCTGCTTCTCGGTTGCTGGCTTTAACATCCTGGCTTTTTAAAGCCAGGTTTTGTAGGACAGAGGATTCTCAGAAGCTGTCATCCCTGCCCCTCTGAAAGCTGGAAAGTTGCCTCTTGCAAGGGCTACTATGACACCTGGAACACTTATTTTGCTTGGTATGAAGTGAGGAAGTTCCATCCCAGGAAGTACTCCATGGGACACATCTTATCTATCTTCCAATCTGGTCTCGACTAGTGTTTATTCTTGAGTACTATCAAGGACCAAATTTCAGCCTTAGTGATTTCTCTTCCAGAGGCTGCTATCCTCACTCTTTAGTAAAGGCTTTTGTGCAGGATGTTGCTCATATTGTTCCCCATGTGTGCACTCCTAGTGACTTTGTGGGAACATGCATGGTTGCCTTTCTTGCCGCCATTACTTCTGCCAGGCGTGTGTATGAGTTAGCGACCATGAAGTATAAAAAGCCCTTTCTGGTTATCCCCTAGGATAAGGTTGTACTGAGACCTAAAGCCTTCTATCTTCCTAAGGTAATCTCTGCCTTTTACCTTAACCAGGACATTGTTTTGCCATCCTTATGCCCTGCACTAAAACAACATTTTAGTTCAATCTGAGTTTATTCAAGTTTTTCAAAATTACAGAATGTAGGCAATAAAACATTTAGTACAAAGAAAAAAAGTACATAGAGTGCATCCTTAAGAAGGACAGAATACACTAGTACACATAAACATTATAAATCATAGAACAAAATAGATTAGTTAATGACATTCAGACAGTAGACATTCCAACCATTAAAACTGATCACATTGGGCACTAGAACCAGTCAGCATAACAACCCAAGTCCCAAAAAAACTCCTCCCAGGCAGCAAAAGTAGGTCACTGAGTAGGAATATTGTTCCAGGTCCTCCGGCTGAAGGGCATGATAAGATCGAGGAAATGGGCTTTAAACAATGCATGCGGTTGGAGGAAAGACAAGTAGAGGACAAAACGGATTGCAACAGACGACCTTCTATAGGGAGAAGGGTAACAAAGGAACGGAGGGAAAAAAATAGAGGTGATACCAAAGAGACCTACAGAAAAGCATAAGGGTTCCCACCCCCATGTAAAAGACCCAAAGGGCGAAAATAACCTGGGATACAGAAGCTCTCAATTCAAGCCATGTGGACCAGGTAAGAACATATCTTTCCCCAGCATCATGCTCCTCGGCCAACAGGTTCTTCAGGTCAACTATGCGATCCATCTCTACAGCCCATTCGGCTAAGGTAGGTTCCACTGATGTACACCAGTGGCGAGGAATGACCGATCTGAAAGCCGTAAGAAAATGCCTCAAAAGGCCTCTCTTTACTGACGTGAACCAGGTATCATAGACAACAAAACAAAAAAATCTTACGGTTGTTGGCAATCTCAATACCCATCACTCTGTAGTTTAGTCTCAAAACCCCCTGCCAAAAATGCCTTGATAAGAGGGCATCTCCACCAGATGTGTGTCATATTGCCCAGGGAATCTTGACAACGCCAACAAGAGTCCGACACATCAGGGTAGAAACTATGAAGAACTACCGGACATATGTACCATCTGGTCAGTATTTTCACTTTTTTTTTCTGTGTGCCCTACAGGCAATAGACAGGGAATGAAAGAGCCCAAAAGATTTCTCCCGATCCTCTGCGTCAATGGAGACGCTCAGTTCCCGCACCCAAGCAGAAGTGTAGCCCGGTAAGGTCAGAGAGGCCAAGGAAGAAATGATAGGGCATAGAAGGGGAATGGAGTAGGATGGAGGCGAGGAATGCAAAAGTAGAAAATCAAAAGCTGTGGGGTCTTCCTCAAAACATTCCAACCTTGAGAAGGAAGATACAAAAGAGCGAATCTGCCCCTCTGCCAACCAATGTCAGTGGGGCCACAATCGGCAGCCAACAAAGAAGGCACATGTAAAGCCAAAACCAGGCGGCGTTGGGTGTCCCTAGTACATCTGCCAAAAGATGATCAATAAATTGCCAGAGGAAAAGCCGGTTTGTTGAAAAGAGGAGTCATCGGGCCCGCATAGGAAGAGATGCTGTATTTGGCAATATAGTGATCCCAGAGTTCCAAGGTGTGCGCAGTCAAGAAGGGGAAAGAGAACGATGCAGGAGGGATCCAAAGCAATGCCTGTAGGTCACACGCTGTAACCGTCCCTTCCAATTGAATCCACTGTTTATCACTGGCCCGATGGAACCAGTCCACTATGCGCACCAACACTGCAGAGACATGATAGAAAACATTTCCGGTGCACTCGTTCCCCGTTCCCCCCTTGCATTTAGGTAAAGAAAAAGTCTGGTAATTGAGACAAGGGCGTGAAGAACCCCACACAAACTTCGTAAAAGCTGTCTCAAATACAGAGAGGAAAGGATAATGGGTAACATCTGGAACAGGTAAAGAAACTGAACTACATCATCCAGTGTGAGAACATTTATCTGGCCCAACCAGGAGATGGATTTGCGATCGTAGGATGAGAGATCATGAATAATAGTCCCAAGTAAAGGCTTAAAATTCAGGGAATAGAGGCAAGCCAGGTCCGTAGAGAGTCATACACCCAAATATTCAAGGAAGTATGGCAGTTACAGAATGGGAAATTATGACCCACTTATTGCAGGGCTGCCTCCCCCAAGCATACATTTGAGTATTTCTGACTTGGAAAGGTTCACCTGAAAATTGCTTAGACTACCAAAGCGGGTGAATTCCTGTAAAATAGAAGGTAAGGCAACAT